TGTAATGTTGACAGAATAACTTTTTCATTCGAATTAAGTTTCTCAAAACTTGAGGGTGGTGAAATGAAACGACTTTGCGCATTGAAATTTGTTATTGGTATGGTCAACATTTTTTAAACATTGGAACATTCAAAATTTTAGGAATATTGGACTTCGTGTTACTGCTTCAGTGGAAGCATAAATTCAAACATAAATTAGTAAATATTAATTTTTTCTTATTACAGCAGAAAAGATATGATAATTAAATTATAATTATCACAATGAAGGTATTAGGTATTAAGTATGGTTCTTACGAGATTATACTGTATACATTTAAAAAATACCACTTGCAACAATATGGTTTCCAAATATAAACAGTGTATTTAATTTTCTATCTGAAAAACGATTTTGTATGACATTGTTTTTACAATATCATCAAAGTTTTCTTTCATATCTCTGATGTTTTATGATACAACATTTATAACTGCCAAAGTTATGGTCTTTTAAAATCCAGTATCATTTTTGATAATAAAAAAATTTACAAAGCAAATAATTTGCCGATACCTACTATAATACAAATATTTATCAGTTAGCCTATGCCATTATATACACACGTATGCTAATTATAAAAATCTGCAAATTAATTATCAATTAACCCTTTGCACTCGATGCCATTTTAACTGTAAATCTAAAACAATTTTTTCGATTTATAGTATTTTCATTTTGCAGAAGAAAGTGCATTTTATGCATACGAAATTGAGTCTCGTGATTCATAGAACGGTTACACTTTTAATAATGTTTAAAATTTAAGCTTCGATGATATAAAAATGATCTTAGAACGTGATCTAACAATTTTAGTGGTGCCTCAAGGTCACCATTCGAGTGCAAAGGGTTAACCTATGACTTTATATAGGCACGTAGACTGAACATAAAATGTGATAAAAATTACTTAGAATAAAACGAAACATTACCAGCTTTTAAATAATCGGGGTGTAAGCTACCAAAAAACAATAAGTTGTATTCGATAGTTACTAAGTTGATGGATCACCTAAGTGAATGGATCTTTTACCGTCCAACCTCGCCGCACGTTGCATTACCAGAACAGTTAAATGATTAATATACAAGTAATTACAGTTAATTAATTTGATGCATAATCTTTGTACGATCGATGGGATTCCGTCTCAGCTAAAGGGCACATACGATTGTCATTCGTGACGTTGACTATCAATTAATTAAGGTTCATTGGAGTTCGAAACTGCGATTAATAATCATCATGATTTTCACCGAAGACAAGGAGAAATTCCAGAGCAATAGCACTCGTAGGTATAATTACGACTTATCTACGATCGGTCTGTGGATTCTCGAGGATCCCTTAGTTCAAGGCCACACTGTATCACCGAGTATTGCACGATTTGCCACTTTAGTCTGCTACCTATAGCGTACGACCACTCACGGAACACGAAGATATTTCAGACATTCTAAGTTCATTAGTATCATTGGATCCATGCATGGGAGAAAAATATTTTCCGAAAAATTTAAGCCAATGCACTTTAAGTGTCTCACTAATTATCGATAAAATATACCATATCGGGAGGAAATATTGTTTGAACGAGCAAATATTGTTAAAATTGTCTTTTTTCATGATATTTGTCTCTCTAAAGCAAATCATGGTTGCCTCTGATATTTGCCTCTTTTATCGATAATAAACGAAGTATCTGTGCTGTGCTAGAAT